ATGTGACAAGCAGCGCATAATTATTTGCTATTAGCTACTGAATGTCCATAGGGCACAGTCCTAAACTGATGCGTTCCCTCCTAGCACGTGTGTAAAGCCTTAGAACTGTCAATGAGAAACTGCAGAAGACCGAAGAGAACGTTACTCTTCTGCAACCCCCCAAATCAGTGAGGGATCAAGATCTTCGTTATCTGCAGTTAACTAAATGACTTCTGGATAAGAGCACAGGAATTTCCATATTACAAATATTTTAAGCAGCAGGAGAACAACACTGCATAGTGTAAGAGATTTTAAAAGTCATGAATGCTACAATATCAAGGCAACACAATTTTAGGCACTACCTGAGGAAATGATGTAGTTCTTTCTCAGCGCATATAATTTGTGTATCCCTGTAACAAAATTACAGAAGTCTGTTATTGTGCCTCAATTGTGTCTAAGGAAGGATTCAACTACTAAAAGCTTAAAGGTTCAGTTACTACCGATTGATGTTTCATTCCTGGCAAGCATTTGGAAGAAAGATCAGCTAGAATATCAATGGAGAGCCCTCAGTATTTCCGGTGACCTGTGGTTCCCGAAGGAAAGCCAACATTCAGAGCTTCACTTTGATCTCTTCTAGGTCTCTCAAACCAAAATGAAGCATTGTTAAGACCCAGTGATACAATCCTAACCAACAGTACCTCCAGACTGATGTTACAGGCCCCATAGATACACTGCAGGCATACTTCTGTGACTAACCCTGAATATCCTTCCAAATGATCAAGTTCACATGCAAGTAAAAACAAAGTAAAATATTCTTTGAAGCAAAGGCCATGGGATCAACTCATTATCAACAATCTAACAGCTGTACCAATTAATGGAAAATAAACTACACATTGTAAGTATCTGGACTAGAGCCACAGTCTGATGACACGTAAATAATTGCACGGTATTTGTCCACTTTCAAGCAGTAAGTTTAAAAGACTTCCCTGTAAGTGCGTGTGGTTTTTTTAATATAGTATTCACTGTAAAATTTACTTCTGGGATCTCTAAAGCTATTTAAAGACAGAGAAGTCATGTTTGGTAAACAAATTGTGAATTTCAAAAATAAGGACTTGGGACTAAATCTTCTGAATCTTGGGCCAAATGCATATTTGTTTCATGATACAGAAAAATAAGGCTCTAACAGAGCACATAACCTTTCTTGAGCACCTTCAGAGACAGCATTTCATTTAAAAAATATTTACTGTGAAAAAATTCTTCCATGGAAATTAATTATTGTTACAATGTGCCAAGATTTCTGTAATATATTGATACATTTTAAAATCTAAAAATAAGACAAAGAACAAATGGACAGAAGTTTTTAGTGGTACAGATTGGCTCAGACACATGACAATCTACAGCAGAGTATTTCCCCCCTCAAAAATAGGCTGAGATCACCAACAAATTGTATGTATGTAGTTTTTTTATACTTATTGGTAAAACAATCCTCCACAGCTGCAATGGTAACAAGATTTTAAAACAGAAGTAATTGTGTAGATTTTTCCACCTAGCAAAAGGTGGAAAGTCACTTGAGGAAACCTGCAACCAAGACATAGTACATGGCATCTCCTTTCACAACAACTTCAGAACAGCATAAGAACAAAACCAGGCTCCACCTCTCTTCCTGCACAATAGAAAGAATGCTACTGTCTGCTAGAATAATCTTTATATATATTTACATATTATGGCTGTATTATTTACTGACTATAAAGCCCACTCTAAGATCCCTGAATGATTAATAGAAAAAAACCCAACAAAAAGAAACCCCCCAAAATACTACAGAGTAGATAAACAAAGTTGAAAAGCTCAAGGGTATTTACATACATAAAATAAAGACCTCAGTGGTACAGAAGCAATAAGCCATAGCTTGCACTCCTGTTAATACAGAGGCTGTACTTTAACCTCTGAGGAATCTGACTTAGAAAACAGAGAAGTAATCCTAGTGGGGGGTGAGAGGATAAGCAAGGAAGAAAAAAAAAAAAAAAAAAAAAGAAAATTGTTTTCCTGCAGGTGAGGAGAAAGTAGTATTCTATCTCAACCCATGATACTGCCAAGGAGTTCCTAAGTTTTGCACAGACAACAGAAAAAGTCAAAGCATCAAGAAGTAGTCCTCAGCGGTCTTGTAATGGTAAGAAGTCAATTCTTGCCTTTTTCTACAGCTAAAAACATACCATAAAACCAAATTTATTGCCTACCATTTGCAAGAAAAATGTCAACCTCATATAAGGATAAGTAATTATTAAACTAGTGGTCCAAATTTTATTTTAAAAAGTTATCATTCCCAAGTACTAAAATGACACATAAGTAAAACACTTTATAAAAGCAGAGAATATTGATTGCAAAAAAGTAGACAAACTCTATTGGAATTGAAACAAAATGCACGTAGATTTGAATAACCAGATTTTAACCCACAGCACATAAATGCTGTGAGGATGTGGGAAAATTGCTTTTACTTTGTAACCAATGGATCTTTTAAGTTTAAACCAGAAATTAAATGTTAAAATTTCCCTTTAATAAAGATATGCTAGTTATCAATCTGTAGTTTATATAGCAGGCTGTGCATCAGAAATCACCATTTTGTCCTGTAACAGTATCTTTATTAAGAAAGGAAATGCAGGATAAAGTCATGGTTTCATGCATTTTTACCTGTCCAACCTACAAAATTTAATTTTCTTTCTTTCCAGAGAGGAATCAAGAGAGAAATTATATTTTTACTTGGACATTTTCAAGCAAATGTTAGAAGTTAGGAGAACATATCCCCCACGTGATAGGTATGTTTGCAAAGTAGATAGCTAAAAATCTGTTTTACAGAATCTGTAGAAGGTGGTGGCATAAGAATTTTGTCTTCCATTCTGTAATATTTTCTAAGATGAAAATGGGTACTTCATGTATATTGACGTTTCAGAGTCAGACGAATGATGTGAAAAATTTCTTCTCAGAGAGTGCAACCTCGATTCCTAAAGAGAGGGAAAAAGGCTGTGTTGTTTCCTCTGCTTCAAAGTGTGTCCCATTTACTACATTAATCATGTTTCAACGAAGAGTTACAGTCTATTTTGATACTGCATCAGCTAGATAGACTTAGATCGAAAAGGAAAATCAGATTTCCATTGTGTACATAGGTGAAGTCAATAGTGGCAAGAAATATCTTCCTTTATTTACAAGTATAGAATCTTAGAATGAGTTCAGAACTAATTTACTTAGAAAAAGTAAAGTTTTGTTCATTGATCACATAGCCTCAGTAAAGTATGTCAAGTTATTAAAGCAATTGTATCCTCTTTCTAATTGGATAGGGAAAATTTATTTTTACAGTATGTTACAGTGGCAAAACTATTTAACCAATTTTTTTTTTTTTTACTTTTGCTTTCTCTGTAGATTAGAGCAATGCATTACTATGGGAATTTATAATAATGTTTACATTATTTTTTCAGTGGCTAAAACTCGTATTTATAAAACGCCAGCTGAAAAACTGGTAACAAATAGGCAATAGACTGTGATTAAGTAACTTGCCAGTGGACGCCACTAGTTACTGGCAAAAGGATGGCAAGATCCAGAAAACAGGGCTACCATTTTCGGTGCTGGCTAAACCAGTTTTTAGAATACTTGCACTATTCTGTTTATTCCTCCTAAGATCAAAATCTCTTAGTCTACCTTTGTATCTCAGCTGCTTTGTATCCAATTTGTGGAACTCCCATCTTTTTTATTCTCTTAACTTAACCAATCTGTGTCCTTTCTTCCCATTCTTACCATGCCATATGACAGACTCAAGCTATCTTTACTGTTGTACCTTATCTTCTCAGTTTGGGCCTTTTCAGCAACTTTCTTGTTTTGTTAGACTTACTTTTTGCCCTCCCTTCTGGCTCAGTCAGTTTCCTAATACAACCAGCTGTAGTTCCTACACCCCCATCAGGATATTCAAGCCACTTTAATCTCAAGATTTCAGTTTCTTTCCATCATCTACTAGCTCCACATCATGTAGTGTATTGCTTTCCTAAATCTCTAGGTTCCATAGTTATCTAGTGCCAGTCTCCCTGCCTATTTCAGCTTTCATTACAGCAACCTTACAGGACTTCAGTCCCAGTCTATTTCTCTTACTCTTTCTTAAGCCTTGACTCCAATTAGAATATGGAGGACACAACCACATTTTCTCCTCTCTACCAGCTGGTCCCAACAGAAAAGAACTATGCTCAGTTTCACACTTCTAATACTTTTTAAAAGCCACATCTGGGGATAAATCACACAGACGCATGCATAGACAAGGAGTCACACCTTAACAAATACCAAGCTCCTGCTACAAATCACTGGGCTGTTTAAAGGCTACAAAATAAGTGGACACAAATTTTAACATGTGCAAAACATGTATTCTTCCCTAGCCTCATTTTATTAAAATATTAAATGTTTAAAGAAGTGTAAGCAACTAAAATCACCAACTTTTTCCACAATAAAAAGCATGGTTAAGCACCTGCCAGAGTATAACTCCATGAACACAAACCACTGTAAATCACACAAAATAGGGAGAAAAGGGGAGAAAGCTGAGTTGTCAATAAAGGAATTAAAACAGTTTCAGAAACAAAAATTGTACATTAGAGAGTGCTGAAAAATTTCCCTCCCTGTTCAAGGAAAATAATCCAAATGCACACAGAACTTGGGAAGTTGAACTAGAAAGAAAATAATGATGGAATTAATATATACATGATTATCCCAGGAGTAAATGACATGGATTGTAAGTTGTTCTACATAACAGAATTATTAGGAAATTTATAAACAGTAGAAAGCAGCTAAGTAATATTGCAGACTATGCTACATTCTATCAGAGCATGTTTTATTATTTACCAGTTTGTAAATAGCAAGCATTGCAATGAGACAACTAACCCCAAGTTTCACAACAGGCAGCTGCTAGCTAGTATGTTGATGATGGATCTCAGCCACATGGGAAGGACTGGACAAGAGAATCAGTACAGGTAGACTAGAGTTGCCCAACTGGCTTAATAGTGAATGCTCCATAGTGTCTGTCAAGGAAAGAGAGAGAGAGAGAACATACGGATCAGAAAAAGCAAAAGAAAATTACCTCACTAAACTGGAATGAGAACGAACTATGAGAACAGAAAAAGAGGAGACTGTAAAGAGAACATAGAAGGAAACAGTGCAAGAAAAAACATGCTATCTGCATCTTTCTACGTTAATATAAAATTAACAAACGTATTTTTGGTAGAGTTAAAAAAAAATCCCTTTTACAGACAATAGACCTTGCTACAGCTAGTGACAAGCCTCTTAATCATATATTATGTTTAGAAGATTAGATTCTAATTTCTGAGACTAAGGTAACTTTAAACAAAAGGTTTATTCTCTCTCTCTCCATATCACTGCACATATAAATAAAAAAATACTTACCTATACAGAAAACATTGTAAGGTTTAATTTTTTCATTCCAGATGGACTATCACACAATGGCACACTAGTATAAAATTACTGTATTTCTGCCAAAATGATTACACCAAGACTTCCCCTTATAAAAACCGCAATTTATGTAGATACATAAACATGTATAAACACATGTATATTTATGCATATTATACACACAGAGAACACAAATTTTAGCTTATTACTCTTAACTGCAGAGGAAGATGGAGTGCTCCAAGTTTACATTACATTCTCTACCAGAAAGACCAAGGTGTTAGCATCATGCACCATATTACAGTCTGAACGCATACATACATGAACTATATTACAAATGAATACCCTAAATTCTGTTTTGACATGGGAAGATCCTCTTTCTGCCTTTTTAGCTAGAGGCAATGTAATTACTGCCAATTATCTGTAAACTGGAAATGCTCACGCAAAGAATTTTAGAAATTACTTTTTGGAAAGTATTTGCTTATAGAAAGTAGAAAATGCAATTCTAAAGCTTTCAAAAAAAGATAGTGGGGAATAGAGAACAAAGTAGTGACAAAAAACAAACATGCAAACAAATCTGAAAACCAGGATACATTTCTATCACCGATAGGTTCTTATTTTAGAGTTAACTGGGTTTTTCAGGGAAAAAAAACCCAAACACTTTGTACTATCTTTGTACTCTTCTGTGCCTTTCCAGAACATTTTCTAAAGAAAAGGGTAAGCTTAAAAGAAGTGCTATAGCTCTGCACTCCAATCCAGTGTATAGCACTTTCCAGGTTCCAAGAACTGGATTAAGATTGTCAGACTTTGTCAGCTAAAACTAGTCTATTACAGGGACAGGAGCAATAACACAAGACTGATTTCCACCCCCTTCCTGAAGCTGAATGTCCAAGCTCAAATAAAAAAAAAACAAAAACAACCCAAACCAAAACCACACTTCTTCCCCTCCCCCAAGGACTTAAAAAAAGTCTGCTACAGGAAAAGGCACTGTATGATCCCATACTGTTAATATTGGCCAAAACATTCTGTTGGATACAGACCATGGAAATAGCAAAAACTCTGACCAAGACTAGAACCATACCTACCCCCTGACAGGTATATTGCAGCTGGAAAAGATGACTGAGAAGAATAAATAAACCAAACAAAAGCATGAAACAAAACAAACCCCACTCATGTACCCACCTCCATGCACCAGAACCTTTTACACCTTTGCTCAGTTTATGTAGACTGCAACTGTGTTGCCCAGCTCCCCAGGCCTCACAGGTCTCCCTCATACACACACAATATCCAATAAACATTTACCATGCCAGTGTCTCAGAACTCAAGATAACCATCCAGCAAACCAAAAATTTAACTCACAGCTATTTCTCCCAGGTCTGAAGCCAGAGAACACAAATTTCAAAGTTTCTGCTGTTACTATAGACTACACATAGCCTACCACCAAACACAATCTTATACATGTCCCCCAGTAGTATTTAAGCATTAGTCTCCATATTAGATTACTTAAGATCTGAAACACTGCACACGATCCAGCAGAAATTAAAAAAGTCACATTTCCTAAAAAACAAGTGTCACCTAGCAGCCTTTAAGAATGAATGTCAACCTTTTGTATAGATGTGAAGATGAAATCACTTCCATATACTCATGAATAAAACATGCTAAAATCCCTGAAAGAAAACACCTTCAAGTAAATACAAAGGATCCTCAGCAAAATACATGGTCAAGGGGAGGGGATTAGTATTTTTGATTAAAACCTGATCTTAAATACCAAATTTGGCTCTAAAAAGTTATAGTTGGAAATTGGGCAATGTTTTCTTCTAATTTTCGTTTTGGACTATTCCAAATTTTGTACTAAAAGTTACATCAACAAAATGCTACTGAAGTGGTAGAACAGAGAGAATGAAAAATAAGTTAGAGAACTGACAGAACTGAAGCTTCCTTTGTTAACTATTAAATGGTTCACATGATTAATGAACGGAGTTCTATTTTTACATATCCACAACAGCAATGGAAAACTCTGGCTTAGAAATTTGTGATTTTCTTCTTCAATAAAGATTTAATCAATTTTGTTTGCTTACCCTTGTGACTTCATTAAAATATGATACAAGGAAGAAATTCTTTACAATGAGGGTGGTGAAACACTGGAACAGGTTGCCACCTCTCTGGGCAACCTGTTCCAGTGGAGGCCCCATCCCTGGAGGCATTCAAGGCCAGGTTGGACAGGGCTCTGAGCAACCTGATCTAGTTAGCGGTGTCTCTGCTCCTGCAGGGGGGTTGGACTAGATGACCTCTAGGGGTCCCTTCCAACCCAAAACATTCTATGATGGCAATGTATGCTCTGTTTTAAACTGCATTTGAAAGCTATGAGAAGTCTACAACTGCCAAAAATATCTGGATACTGACTGTACCCATCCTACTCTCACCATACGACTTACAGCTCCTAGTATAAAGCATATGTTTATTCCTAATGCAATTCCTAATGCAGTGGAGGCAATTAGCAAATTACCTTCAAGGTAAGGTCCTTATTTTAGGCATCTGTTCTGTCTTACATGGCCACTACTTGGCAATTTTCAAGCAGCAGATACATTTGTTGGGGTATTTTACCAGGACTACAGCCAGCAGGCACTATTTTTATGCAGCTGGGGAGCAGGTGGTAATGACACAGCCACTTGTTTAATACATAGCAGTCTGCTGTCGACATATGCTTTTTTTTTTTAAAATCATTGTTGAGTGCTCAGCCAGAGCGATAGACAGAATACAAGCTGATCATATTCATTACAAATAGAATTAAGTTTTAAGTGGGTATGTGAAAAGGTAAGGTAAAATGTGAAAGGGAGAATTATATTCCAGAACTACTAGTTACTACTAAACAAAGCTAAATAAATATATTAAAACACCTGTCAAAAAACTATTTGACATCACCCTGTAATGAATCAAATTATCAGAATTCAGCAAGTCTTTGTAAGGGTTTAACTGTATCTGTGAATCTACACAAGACCTGAACAGAGCAGAGTTTCAGTCACAGCTATCAGTAGACTTCCAAGAAAACAGGTAAGAACGAGCAAGAAACACAATGAAGGAATAAACAGGATTAGCAATTTCATGCTCAGTTTCATCAAGTTTAAATCTGCACTGCTAACAGAAGTTAACACTGCTAACAAGGCGGTGGAGTTGCTCTTTATGTAAAGGAGCAACTGGAATGTATAGAACTCTACCCAGGAGCGGATGAAGAACAAGTTGAAAGCTTGTGGGTAAAAATTAAGGGGCAGGCCAGCATGGGTGACACTGTGGTGGGTGTTTACTATAGACCACCCAATCAGGATGAGGAAGTAGACGAGGCCTTCTACAGACAGCTAAATGTAGCCTTGCAATCTCAGGCCCTGGTTCTCATGGGAGACTTCAACTATCCTGATATCAACTGGAAGGACCACACGGCAAGGTGCGCACAATCCAGGAGGTTCCTGCAGAACATCGACGATAACTTTTTGACCCAGGTGGTGGAGGAGCCAACAAGAAGTGGAGCGCTACTGGACCTTGTGCTGGCAAATAAAGAAGAACTGGTTGAGGATGTGAAGGTAGGAGGCAGGCTTGGCTGCAGTGACCACGAGATGGTGGAGTTCCGGATTCTGAGAGGTGGAAGCAGAACAGCAAGTAGGACTGCCACATTGGACTTCAGGAGAGCTAACTTTGGCCTCTCCAGGGACCTACTAGGAAGAATTCCATGGGCTAAGGCTCTTGAAGGGAGGGGAGTCCAAGAGAGCTGGCTGCTATTTAAGCAGCTCTTCCTCTGTGCTCAGGATCGGTGCATCCCTGTGAGCAGGAAATCAAGTAAACGAGGCAAGAGGCCTGCATGGATGAATAAGGAGCTTCTAGCGAAACTCAAAGAAAAGAGTAAGCTCCATGGAATGTGGAAAGAGGGTCAGGCC